GATGATGATGATAAAAAATAAACCAAATCACAGTTTACACCTCTCTGTTGATTTCAGTCAGTTGCTCAGCTTATAGAAGACACCGTTCCCCCATCCATCCGCCTGGGAAGAAGTTTGAAAATGGACGACCCTGTGTGTAAGTTGCTCTCAGCCGCGGCAGACAGAGGGAACACGTGTCGTTTGTTGTTGTGAATTCATCCTATATTTGCAGCGACTGTCTGTGTAAGACAAACTGCGAGGTTAAGTTCCATTTCAGCGGTATTTGAAAATTGTGTCTGGTGTCAGATTTTAGGGCACTGGAATTATTCATTCCATTAAGCCTTTTTAACAAATATATATTTTTAGTTTGGCGAAATGTGTGGAATTAGGGGTTTCTAACGAACCAGACTCTAACAAAGGAGTCCATCTGAGCGAGGAATGTAGGTTACACGCTCTTTGTGTGCCAATAGACCTTGCTGGAGTGTTTTTCACCGTTAAGTCTTCCTTTGAACATATTTGGAGTTGTTTTTGCGGAGCCCGGCGAGCAGCACCAATCTCCTGACGCCCTCCGCCGATGCCAATAGGATGACAATTAGAGTGTAAAGTTCAGCGTCACACGGCCAGTTTGATCTGGTTAGCAGTAGCATTACATCACGCGTGCACCGCTCAACATACAACTTTGCCTAATGATTGAAAATTGAACGGCATTAAATATGAATAGCAGGCGGAACTTTCAGTAGCGTTTGCAATTATGAAGGCTGATAATTATTTCAAAAACGTACACTTGGAAGACGGGCGACACAGACATTACATATAGTACACCGGAGTGTGAATAAACACGTTTTAACTTGCATTTTTGCAGACAACATGACTCTTAAAATGTAAAACTAATTTATCCAGATGTTTAAAATTAGGTCTCGATTTTAAGAGATATATCAGCGTTGCACTAACCATCAAGTCACTAGACTGTTTTTCCCTCCCCTAACTAAATTGTTTTTGTCATGCAAATAGCCTTTGACGCTGACTTGGCCTGACATATGTATGTATGTATGTAGTGAGAATGGCAAGATGAGGGGTTTAAAAGGAACATTGTCATTAAATACATAATTTATTATAGTTCCTCTAATGTTTGACATATGGCAGGAGTCTGTTTTCTCATCTGCTTGTGTGTGTCTTTAATGAAGCAAGCCATGCTGAAGCTGCTGGACTGGATTCTGCTGCTTCAGCTGCACAGAGCTCGATCTGCAAATCCTCACTGCTCAACAATAATGGGCTCTCTAAACTTTCCCTTTTGTAGTTTCATGAATATATTTTTATTGCTCAAAATGGTTGTTAAAATAGGGTACCTTTTTAAAAGTAATTTAAACACTAGGCTGTATCAAGGCATCAAACAGCTGCCTGCCTCATTGTCGCACAAATATTCAGTGTAAAACTTGTCATAATAACATCCCCCAGACATGTTAGTGTGAGGGGGGTCAGTAATGTGTGCCCCCCCCCCCCCCCCCCCCCC